GCACGGCTGGAGGTACTTCCGATAACGTTAACGCCCCGCGAGTGGGAGACCATCGTTTACAGAACGTTCAGATTAGATTTTAACGACCGCGGGATGTGAAGTCGGAGTAATTGGTGCACGGTTAAAAAAGGACATGTCCGATTTCCACCCGGAGAAACTCACCCACTCGCGTTTCAGGTTCTCTCCACGTCCGAGCACCCGATTGCGCACGCGCGAGCGTGCGCCCGGCACGCACCCCGAGTTACGAACGATATGGACGTGACACTTCCTTTCCATAGTTCACCATGACTCAGGATATTAGCGACTATAATGCCGAAATTAGAATACTCGACAAGAGTGACCAGAATGGATCAGGGGAGGTCGACGCGTCCCGAGCTTTTCTCATTTTCCCGACACCCAGACCTCGAATTCCTACAAAATCCCTCTCTTCCAATCTAACCCACACTTAAAAAAAAAAAGGGAACGTAATGAAAAGTTAAATCGCGATACGAACAAAACTTCATGTCCCTCTTAATTCATTTTAATTAATTGAAATAAATTATTTCTACATCCGAGTATGGAGGAGAAATGGTCAAATTGAGGAAGTGAGGAGTTTCTGTTTGTTTCTTTTCTTTTTTTTTGCTATTTATTTATTTCTGTTTTCATAGATTATTTGTCGGTTTAAAGATTGGACATTGGGCGACGACGTCCTTGGGCCATTTTCCACCGTCGTAATTGTCGCGACTTTATGGGGTTACTCGAAGTGGCTCTTGTGGGTAATATGGGACCAACTTCAGGGGCAACAGTAGCGGCTTTATGAGCGTCATTAAAAGTGTTGATACTCTCTTCTGGACTCGGTTAATATCGCGGTTAATACCGCGGTTAATACTCGGGTAGTCCTACGCTCGAACGGGCGCAGGCCCCGAGTACGTACCTACTGTAACTACTGTAAATGTAGGCGGGCACTTACGACTACACCGTTAAAGCACGTCCTGGTCGTGCATGCCACTCTCTCTCTCTCTGCCTTCGTTCAAAGGCCCCCGATTAAATCTCACCTGGCTTAATATTATTATTTTACGTAGCCGGCCTCCTGGCCGGCTATCCTGCGGTTCGCTCTAACGTTTCGCGCACCTACGATTATCGAACCGCCCGAAAAGGGCAGGCTCCATTTGAAATTCAGAAACACCCTTTAAACAGACTTCAGTCAAAATGCAAGTCCATAAAGATCAACGAAACATGAAAAATGGCCAATTTCAGGGATCTTTTGGTTCCTCAACGATGAATTTCCCATTAAAAAGAAAAATTAAAAAAACAACAATCAGCTACTTAGAATTTCATCAGATGTCGCAGATCGGGGATAATTTATGCGGCTTAATTATTAAATTCCGAGATTTATACTTTAGACGGAGTTTGTTCAAAATAGACGGAGTTGGTTCATAAAAATCAATGGAAATTGAAAATTGACTAATTTAGGGAATCTCTTTATTCCTCGATATGCATTTTCACGTAGAAGAGCCAGGGACGTGGAATTCTGTTATCGGACCTCGCGGATCTGGGATAACTGACGCGGCATAAATTTTAATAATAATATCAGAGGTGATTCCGTGGATACGCGGTAGAAGAGGGGAGAAATAGAAAATAGAGAGATTGTCGGGATTGGCAAATTAGATTACGCACGGTACGAGGTATTACGGTTATGTCAGGTTAATGGCGAGACATAGAAACTGCGTAGATCTCTAATTAAGCGTACTTCCACGTGAAATTAATTCCGCAGACATAACCGGTCAATGTTACTACTGGACCTGCATCGTCAACCTGACGGATTTATCTCGCGCTGCTATCTGTACGGTGTCCCCCGCGTTTCTATGCAAAGAGGCCTTTCATCGGAAAAAATCCTTCCTTTCAACTTGTCCACATTTCGCGTGTCTTACTAGCCGCGATCGTTGAAGCGTTAATGAACATGCGATCTCTCGATATAAGTGCGTTCAATGCGAGATCGAAGACGCACGCGGCGTTCTATATATAATCGGTATAACCGATTAACACGCGTCTGCGTATCGCGATTTTCGGATACCGAATTTTATTCAATTATATCTACAATCCTCATTAAAAAAATTCTAAACTTACGGGCAACCTAGTCTATATTTGTAGATTAATTAAAATTATTATAAAGTAAAGTGTTACCGACTTTGAATTTCGATATTTCGATGGAGGGGTGGGTGAAGGGGTGAATTTCTGGTCCCCGGTGGCACGCGGCCATCGCCGAATTTGAAGACCGCCAATCCCGTCGGCACACAGGATCATCTGCTTTATTCGGCGAGGACCCCCTGTTGAAAACGCATTACGCAATTCAAATATTATTCAAAGGCTAAAAGCCAGAAGGCCCCGCAGATGATGTAAGCCAAGGAGAGATGGAAGCGGAGCAGGGAGAACCTCGGGATAATGTTACCTTCCCGTCCCGACGGCCACGAGCACCAACCCCTTGCGATAGGCTCCAGGCTTCCCCAAAAGTGGCATTTCCCTGAAAATGTATTAAAATGTATAACTCTGCATATAAACTCCACCTATAACTGCAGATTTTAATGAAACTTACCAGAAAACAAAGTAGTTCCCGCGAGGATGGAAAAGGACGCTGCTTAAGATTTCCAAGATGGCGACCGCGCGCAAGGGTATAACATAACCGCTCCAGTTGGGGAATTAAATGGCAGCCTGCCCTGAAAACACATAAAAATCGTATCGACCGGCTGTGTTAAAAGGGTATCGAGTTTCGGAATTCGATTATACGCTACGACACCCGGGCTTCCCTCTTGTACAAATATTTGAATCGAGGCGATCTCCGATCCCTTGAGTGAGGTTACGGGTAAAAACTGTAGAGGCAATCAGGGCGTGATTTGAGGGAGGATTAAAATTATATTTGGGATGAAGTAACGTCTCTTTAGCATGTGCGAAATGAAACGATGAGAAAAGTTGAGTAACGCCTCGTAATTAGCTATGTCAACGGCTTCCTTGACAAGACTCGGCACTATCGGTGGCTCACCCCGTGCCCTCCTTCGGCGACCTGCCATTTCCCATTTCTCATTTGTCCCGGCGACATATTATTTCCGACGGTGCTATCACGATTTCTGTCGCGATTCGCCGGACTCCGCCGGTACTTTAGATCTCCCTCGGATATTCGCCCGTGATAACACCATTGTGCTCCGCCGGCCGGCTGTCCTGCCGACTCGTTTCAGACCATCGGGTGGATGCTCGTTAAAGGAATTTCAGAACACCTTCCGTGACGGAAGTCGCGACTCATAAGAAGAGGAAAACTTCCTAGCCCTCGATTGTCAGGATTCTGCGATTTTTTTACCAAGCGAAACGCGGAAAATTGCCGACCCTTACGCGGCAGCGTCAAAAACCTCCACGTAAAGAGCCCTGGCTATCGACTCTGCATTTTCATTTCCTAGAAACGAAACGGATGAATTTCATTCTCCGAAGTAAGGATAGAAATTAATTAGGGATGGGCCAGAAAAGCTGGAAACGTAAAGGCGGACCTCGAGGGAAAGGGTCACTGGAAAAGCAGCAGATCGGTCACTCCGTGCAGAATACGGAACTTAGCGGGCAACCATTAAGCTCACGCTTCTCTGGCCGAATAATAAACTTGGACAAGTTCTATTAAGCGCACGGCCGAGACGGAATGAAAATGTTCCCCGTCCTCGCGACTCATTCATCAATTTATCGGACTAACGGAAGACCCGTAAAGTCTACGATCTCTCGTCTATTTTCCCCACTCCTGCCGCCGCTATCACGGAACTCGCGCCAAATGCACTCGGGAGTTCGCCTTCGAATTTGTTTCTATTTTTTTTTTCTTTTTCTAAATTAACTGAACCATTCATCGATACATTTCCCGCAGCTTAGAGAAGGGATATTTATAACGCCACAATGCAGACATTAAAACTATTTCTGGCATTTATGGATCTATTCGAAAATGGGCTTTCTTATCATTTCACATAGTTTCGCGATATTTAAACCCTCCTTCTTTTTAATAAACGCACAAAGAGGACTCATAAAAAGACGCCTCCCTGTGACATCGCGAGCACTAAGTAACGAGCCACAAGACGGATCATCTGTGTTTCTCCTTTTTCTCCCGTCGCGTTCCCTTCTCGCACCTTTTACCCCGGCTCGAAATGTTTCCAGAAAATTAAGTGAAATAAACGGAGTACGGAGTACCTCGAAATGCTTTCTCCCGTAGTCTCCGGGCCATATCGCGGGTAATGTACGTGCAGGATATACAATTTATGTTACAGTGTACGCGAGAAATCATTGGAATAACGTAAGGAATATTTTCGGAATTTTTGCTTCTTCAAAGAGCAGGGCAAAAGGAAGGCCAACTTATACGTCAAGGCGCGATGCCAAGGCGGTGGCTTGTCACTTGTCGTCCGCCCTCTTCCATTACGCAAATTGACCAGCCCCTGTCTGCAATCTAAATAACCTACTAATTTTCATAATGTACCACGGGAATTTCCTCTCCGCGTCGACGTCGAGGAATTTCCTGTGCTTCTTCGAGTCGCCGAGTAAAATGACAATCCACCGATTTCCCCGGGAAGTCCTCCAACATCAAACTGTCGAACTTCGAACAGCCTTTGGGGGTGCAACCCCATCGCCCCCGCACCCCACGATCCCAGAACTATTTCCTCCGAACTGACCAGCTGTATTGGACATCGGACGGCTGTCACTTAAAGGGTTTAATCTGTACATATTGCCCAGCGCAGCTACACCTTCCGCCAAAATTAGCGGGACGGAGCTATCCGAGCCATTGTCAAGGCGCGTTTAATTGGCACCGTGACTGGCGTCGGTCTTTGGTACAATTCATTCGCTCGAACCCTCTTCGGGGATTGTTACGGGTACACAGTACTTGATTCTTAAATTAGAGTAAACGCGCAGTTCCTCGTCCTTCTTGTTTCCTTTGCGAAGATATGCGTAGATATCTTGACGGAGGTATTTTTGAAAATATGAAATAAATAAAGATTCCCCTGTTTCAGCGCCAAAGACGAATCCGAACGGGGGCGAGTTCGGGAGCGGGTCGATGGGCGGCGCCGGCGTCGGCGTCGGCATCGGGGGCTCGGTGTACGCGTCGTCTTCGACCGCGGGGGCGGTGAGCTGCCTGGCCGGAAGTCCCCTCGCGGGCGTCTCCGGAAGCTTCAACAATACCGGACGCACGAACTTCACGAACAAGCAGCTGACCGAGCTCGAGAAGGAGTTCCACTTCAACAAGTACCTGACGCGGGCGCGGCGCATCGAGATCGCCTCGGCGCTCCAGCTAAACGAGACCCAGGTGAAGATCTGGTTCCAGAACCGACGGATGAAGCAGAAGAAGCGGATGAAAGAGGGCCTGATACCGGCGGATGGATCCGCCTCGACCGTCCCCATCAGCGGGGCTAAGAGCAGCAGCAACTCGCCCACAGGGTCTGGTCTTGAAATGGGAGGACTGGGGTTACCCAATTTCGCCAGCGACAACAGCAGGGAGTCACCGCCTTCCTCGGCCAAGGAATGACGAGACCTGGGACCTGGCTTTGTTCCCCGGGTTTACACTTTCTAGAAGGAATCTTACCGAGAGACGTTCCAAGAAGAGGATCCAGGACCTCTTCTCGGGATACCGAACACTTGCATTTGGACGGTAACGAATAGACAATGGACGGAGACGTGGAAAAATGTCTTGATAAGAATTCCAAGGACTTCGAACTTGGCATAGGAGATGAAGTAAACGGAATACAGGAATGGTGCGATGAAAACCTGCAGGATGAAAAAGCGCCGATTAGATGGGAGAAATAATGCTCGTGGAATCTGTACAGAGCATTGACAAAAATTCAAGTCGTCCTCGAGTTGGTTCTCTAGCCATGAGGACTTTGTGAATGCATGAATGCTACCAGGGATACGAACGAGTACGGAACCTTTTTCCTCTATGACGCAAAGTTCTTTTGAGATGTAACCCTCCTGGGCAGTACTGATATCGTTTAAGACCCCAAGTATCTCAAAGTATTCCACGGTCTATCTGTAAATACGAGACTGGGTCGTGCCTCGGGTTCCTCTGGGGTGACATTCGAATGCTATTGGCAGATCGGTCAGGTTGTCTCCCTTGGCCCCGAGTTTTGCGCATGTCGCCGGAACAATCGATCGAGAGCAGCAAATCCGGACCCTCCACGGGGATAATTCCCTGAAAGAAAAATCTATTAGGAGCCTTGGGGAGCCCGACTTCTCCTCGACCTCGAATACCATCGGAAGGACGTCGCGCAACTCCACCGGCCACTCGGCCGCGCGAACCACGCGGGGAGGACTCTCCCGGTTCTTTTGCAAGCTCTGGTCACGCAACCATAATTTCCGAACTAAGCCCTAGCGTGAGCCCTGGTTTGCTCTGCCCCTCGTGGAGCCTACGCGGTTTCTGACAGTCGGAGCCGATATAAAGAACGGGCTTTTAATAGCGCCAACCTCGAGGAACGGGGCCGCTTTCTTCAGGGGTATCTGCCTGGAGATCTTCCGCCGGCCGATAAGAAATTCGGAAAGTACCCGCTCTCCTGGTTGAATATTGAAATTGATACGTGAATTCTGAACCACCTTACTCTAGACATAATTGCGTGGATTACGTAAAGTGCAAAGCGAAAACGCTTTTAATAGTATGGACCTCGCTAAGTCTGGCAGCTTCATCTGGAAGGACATCCTACTTGTGATGTCCTACTGGACCGATTGTTGAACGACCTTGAGACTCCAGTATTGGACGATGCATTTTTCTAGGACACTTAGTGACGCCAGTTCTTCTCATTCAATGCCTGCAGGAACTGTGAAGATGGGCGCTTCTGTAGTAGAGCATTAAAAGCGCTGTGAAACAAAGCGGAAGATTGAAAACCTGGACTAGCTCGGATTAAGATACTAATCAGATGACTGATACTAACTTTCGGAAATATATTTAACCCTCGATAATGTTAATTTATATGACTCGACTCCAAGGTACAAGTGTACCTGTCGGATGACTTTACTGAACATAAGTCTAACGTGTGTCTGAAAAATCTGAGGTAACAATCGTTAATTATTTTAAGCGTGGTACGTTTCGTTCGGGCGATTTAACAAATCCAGTAAAAAGACCCCAAATGGTAAATGACGTTAAGACTGGTTCCACCAGAAAATTGTACAGCAATGATATATCAATGTACAGTTACAGAGCACTTCCAGAGGAATGCTTTTTCTGAGTGAAACGTCATCATTCATTCGGAGCATGGAGCAGCTTACGAATACGCCGAGCATAATTATGAAAAATAATTGATAACTAAAATTCCCCGTCGACGTCGTAATTTATTTTACTTAACGTTTCGACGAAGTATGAAGCGTATACGTAATTGACTTTTACGTTGGGTAAATATTTCCTGACCATTTCCCTAGGTTACATCCAATATACCGATCCTTCCAATGAATTCAACAACTGCAGTCCCAAATTTGATTTTGTATAAATTATCTCGAGCGGAAACTAAACGTTGAGAGTATCACGCATATAAGCAACGTATATAAAGTCTTGCTGAAGTTTTCGTGTATGTACGTGTAAATAGGATCTTACGCAAACCTTGAATCAGTTGATAGAAATGAAAATCGTTTCTGGTGTAGTTTGAATTTTCTCCTCCCAAATTAGGTTTTCAAAAAGGCCTGGACTTCGCCATTTGCGTATCCGTGAGATAAACTTTCCAAATCGGTACTATACCTGTTGGTGATCGTTATTAATGTATTAACCTTAGTTTCTTATTTATTTTATCGACATGTTAATATTGATTACCAATCGGTGATATGTTCGACAATTAAACCATACGCTTCTATAGATGGTTTTCTTGGAAGCCGTTCGAATCGAAAACGTTACTTTACATTCTAGAACCGTAGTTACCTTATAGTCATGGGTTAATGTGATCCACAGAAATTCCTATTATTATAATTTATGCTTAGTCGATATTACGTAGAGACTATGTAGAAGGAATAAAGTTTTATTGTATTAAACCGAGAAACACGAGACCCTAGTTTTTAGTTAATAAAACAATGATGACTACGACTTCCCGCTATTGTTCCAACTTATACAATATAACTTATTTCCTAACTGACCTCTATTATATCTTGTCGACTGCTAATTCCTTTTCATGCGTGACTTTGATGAAAAAGTGAAGTAAAAATTGGCAATTCTGCGATTTCTGGAAAATGCATTAATTCATTACTAATAATTCGCTTAACTTCTGGAATGCAATGATTTATGGAATAAAATCATGGATATTCCTTACATGTTCAACGGATGATTCCGTCGTGATTTTTTTGTAGAAACCTCACTTGAAATATGAAACCTTTAAAGAAACATTTTACGAAACGAGCACTTTCAAATAATACGTTGGTAAATCCGAGTCAAAATTCGAGGTTGTGGCAGCACTGACTTCTTGCCCTTCAGACTACGTCAGTCAGGTGACCTAACCTTAATATAACGATTTCTAACCTACAAATAATCTCTATGAAATGGAACCGCCCAATCCACCAATTAACGCTCCGATTGTGGAAACTCCAAAAGAATTAATTGGTTGTCAAAAGAATCTCAAACAAGAAGAAGAGTTCATCTTGAAATTAATATCAAACATTGATTCTCAAATACATGCTCTTCAGGTACGTCAATACTAACCATCGAATGTTAAACATTCTAATAAATGTCACAGATTGCTTAAAATTATTCAAATTATTGTTAAATGTCTAGGTAGAACAACTTCACATCCTTAATTCCTTAAATGCAAGCAAGAGTCCGCCGATGGCTCGGAAAGCAGAACCCATTACACAAAAATCAAATGATTTTACAGATATGTTAAATCAAGCTCTTAATCTTGACATTCCATCATTGACATCACACTTTAGTGAAGAAGAAGAAGAAGATGATTAAGCTTATAGATACTTTAACAAAATATATTAATACAATTTTTTATTAATGCTTAATGGTATAACGAAAGAAGCCATGTACAACGTGCCAAAAAGATCTTGTGATTTTTTTGTAATATAACACGATTTATAATTTCAAGTTGTTTATCTTTATGATGTATATATATGATTTAATTTAATGTTTCAATGAACAGGTAATGAAAAATAAACGATACTCTAATTACAAATTAACATAAAACGTTATTATTTGTTTCTTAGTCTAAGGAATTTAAACCTGTTCAGATTTACAGTACCAGTACCGATGATTGTAATCAAGAAATACTTTTTTCGGCGGACTGCATTGACGCTTGAATAAGTCATTCTAATTTAAAATAAAACTAAGACATTAAAATATGAATTACGATGGATGGCTTTGTGGAGGTACACCTAATTGGGAAGGATCATCCATAAGACTTGGTGGTTTGAACTGTTCCGCAGAAAGACGAGTTAGCAGGATACCCATTCCTTCGATAAGAGACAACAATATTCCACCAATGATCGCACTGCCTGCCATTGCCATCGCTCCATTTCTCGCCGATAGTATAGCTCCTGTGGCAGCACCGCTGATTATCGAATTCCACGGGTCCTCTTTATGCCTTATACGCACTAACGTGCAATCTATTGTTGAAAACATCCCTCCCCAGATAGCGAAGTTCCCAGCAATTATAGGAGACCGTTGTTTAATTGCCATTAAACTACCCAACATGCGCTTGTTCATTCCACTAGGGGCATTGCGAAACCCTTTAATACTTTGAAATATCGCTCCACCAATAGCTCCCATAGTGAAGGCTCCTCCACAATCGTCTATTATCCTCCAAGGACAAGGTTCTCTTGAATACTCTTCCATTTTTCACAGTTTTCTGTTAAAAAGAGTGTGTTAGAAAATATCAACTTTAAGCAGTCATTAGTCAAGTACATGAAACGTTACCAGAATTACCATCAAACGTAAGTAACATTACATTTATATAACTGTGTGAAATGGTAGGACAAAAAGGTCAAAGATTACATTCCACACAGATGCAAACTATCGACATAATTAATTCGGACGGTCTTACTTTAACAGACTATGATGCATCATAAATAACAAAAGTTAGGTTAAGAAGATACGTAAAGAGCAAAGGATGGAAAGTATGATGAAACAATTATGTATGACACTACTCGGTGTAAGTACCAAGAAAAAGGTGTTAAATGCATACTTCATTGACATTACCGAATAATTCTGTGGAAGTCGGTTGGAGATCGAAATGTCGAAAGCAGTCGAAATAATTCGTTTTGACGAAACTCGTAAAGATTTTCCTGTCCGCGTGTTTAACGAAAAATTCGCTGGAATGTGGCGTCATCTTCACACGAACATTCTAACTATCACGATTATACGTCGGTAATGTAGATGATCTATTCTGAATATGAACTTTCACGCAATGGAATAACTAATAGAAAATTATTTAATCAGCATTTCAGTTATGAGAACGTACGAAAAATACACAACCATATTTTAAGAAATGAAAACATTAAATTCTCAGCAATTATGTTGTAAGAGCTTTACTGCCTTCGAGCCGCCTTTTGCAAGTTCAATTGGTGCAGTAACAATCGAAAATGATACATTCAAATTGAATTAGAGAGATATTAAAAAAGATTCGACTAATTTTTTTACTTCTTAGGTGCCCATGGAAGCCCGAAGTGCAACAGTAAATGCTTCAGAAATAGCACAACGGAACATTTCCAAAAATACACGCCGCCTCCGGTTAGTCTTAGAAATACCGCCATTACGATAATAGGATCTGTACAGCTCGTGATTTCTGTTTAAAAAACGCTTATTAAAAAGAATTATTACTCAGAAACTGGGTCGAGAAGGTTCACGAGGACGTAACGTAAGTAAATGCAACTATTAACAAGTACTTGCTATATTAATTAAACAATTAATTGCACTGAAGGGATCTCGTGTTACCTAAAATGCCAATTTACAATTAGTTTGATTACATACTAATATTCCTGGGAATAGATGTACTTCGTATTAAATTAAACACCACATGCAGTGCAAGGCATGTTTAATCGATAGATCCCTGTTATTATTTTGTCATTCAAAAGAAGATCAAGATTGATAATTCCAACGTTCAAGTTTTCCGCACGATTTAACAGATTGTATTTCTCGTAGCACAAAGTTCTTCTGACAATATTCCCTTCCCCCTTATCATTTTAATCATTTTACAAAGACGCCGACGAACCGAAAAGCGAAAATGGCCCAATGCGAAAGGACAGTTGCCATTGTCGCGGAAGATCTACACGAGGCCGAAACTGTCAAATTTGACAAGCCAGTTGACAAAACTACAACAGAATCGGCACCTGCTTCGCCCGCTCTGGATGCACCTGCACCTGCACCGCTTGATAAACTTAAGGAGACATTACCAGGCACCGACATAAAGGACTCAGTAAAGGTATGCATTCAAAATGCCCATTATATATTCAGTGATTATTCTCATATTAATACAGAATAGAAAGGTAAACGGCGTTAAACGGTAATTGCATATAAAATATTAAAACGATTTATTTCAACAGGACAACTGTGAGGCAAATGGTGTAGAGGCCAACAACAACGAACCATCAGCCTTATCAAGACTGGAAGAAGAAGTTCAAGTAAGCCAAACCCGTGAAACATGTAATGCGTTTTCAATTTCTTAATTACAAAGCTGGGCGTATTTTGGGACATTTAGAAGCGAACCAATGAACGTGATACCTACCAAAAAAAATTGGAAGAAGCGGAGAAAAAATTGGGGACCTTGCAGTCTTCTTACAACGCCTTGATAAGCGGCGAGGGCAACGAAGTCACTCTTCGAAAAGAAATGGAGGACTTGAAGAACGCACTAACTCAAACCCAATTGAGACTGGACGATCGTGGCCGTTTAATGGCCAACCAAGAGAACCAGATTAACGCCCTGACCAAACAAGTGTCTTCTTTGAAAGAAGTCGTGTCCATCACGAAGGATCTTCTCAACATCCGCAACATGGAGGTGAAGCATCTGCAGGTAATGCAACTCGTGTTTAAATTCTTTATATTGATTTCGACTCTTCATTTCTTCCTTCGACTTTAAGGACGACGTGGACAACATGGAAAGCCGAATCGCGGCGGAGCGCGAGAGGCATAACGCAATGTTAAGTAAAATGAACGAAGCGGAGCGCTTAAATTCCGACTTGAGGCAGGAATACGAAACGCAGTTGAAGATTTTCCAAGACCTCCGTGGAAAGTACGAGGAGAAGGTCAATTTGCTCTCAGAAGAAAATCGAGCCCTCGAGTCGGCAGCGCACTCGGCGCGCTCGTAATTACTTTTTAATTTGTGACAGATGCGATAAGCGAGATGAATTATAATCAACTCGAAAATCGGTGTCGTCACTTTTTGCCGATACCAGTCCAGTGTAACAAATGGTTCGGGCGAGTACCGCAGGAGAGCAATTTTTTTAAATAACGATACACGAATTAGGATTTGTAAGTTGATTCTAAAATATTTCCAAGCTTTTATCCCTAAGAATACTTGTAATCTTCGACAATACCCTAGATCATATCTGTGGCAAGGCCTTCTGAAACGCTTATCCGTGAATTCGCGTAATGGAGATAGGACAAAAATCTGGAAATAAAAAAAAAACATCTAATCTGGCGACCCTCGCGATCCATGTATCCATGTCCAACGAACACAAAACCGTTATCTCTAACATTTGCGGTATTCGCTTGAGGCAGAATCTACTCGAGTCGAGGCGAATATATGAAGGATTACGTTTCGTGATTGGACGTATAAATTACCGAAGCCATGCTCGGTAGTGGCAGTAAGACGTCAACGGAGAATCTCGGTAATGTCGATGCGATAAAAAGTATTTAATTCATTCTATAAACAAGTGGTAGGTACTTATGCAAAGATTAAATTAAACATCCGTATCTTCCTTAAAGACACAATTTATTCCAGCTCCACTACCACAGGAGCCTCGTCTTCTTCGTCGTCCTGTAAATGGGAAAAATCCCACATAAACTTGGTAGTAAGATTTCCTCGCATTCGGGCTGCCCGGGATTTTAGAAAACTATCAATTTGTGAATTTTGCTCAATGTTAGCAAATAATTTACGAAGATTGCAATAAACAAAATTATTGCCAGCAACTATATCACAAAGCACTTCCTCGGGAACATAGGATAATTGTATTTCGAGTATGTGCAAAAATTCAATGTACACCCCCAAACGAGAAGGAATCGCTGCATCTGCTCCACATAAAAGTTCTACTAGTCCTTTCCAATGTTCAAAAGCATCCAAACTTTGCCCAGCGAGGAAACATACGAATGCCAACTGCAATTCCCCAATTATTTCCATTGGACTACAAATAAACATAGCATGATTCAAATATGGTAATTTCAGCTAGAACGTCTTGTGCTTGGTTCTGAATATTATTAATACTTAATGTAACGTACTGATTCAGCTTGTTCAGAAACTGATCGAGGGCATAACTGTTGTCAAGGGAATGTTGTGTAATTTCAGACGGTGTTGCTCCGTCAGGAAAATATTTATCAGGCAACTCGGTCAACCTAAGTTCCGTGCCTGGCTTAGGTTTCAAGTCAGGTAATAGTTGGTTTTCTCGTTCTTTACTAGAAAGTCGACCAATTCTTCTTTGCTTTTTAACCGGTTCTCCTCCTCTAGGCCTTGACGCGTCACTGCAATGCTCAAGCTCCAAAGCTGAACGAATATAACTATAATACATAACAAATGAAGTTGTCATATTAAGCATAATGGCAATATTAAAACAATTATGCAAATTTAAAATTAATTCACTTGACATAATATTTACCGTACCCACATACTGGGGCACATCTCTCCACGATATTGGCATCAACTTTACTTGTTAATTCTTGCCACTTTAACCACATGTCAAATGGATATGGTCCTAGAAACCTATCCAAATTTTTTAAATCTGTTTTGATGTTACTTACAGTATCCTTGGGAATAGCTACATAAACAGTAAAAGTAACACCAATTAAATTACTTTCAATTCTGTATCCAACACGAAGCAGGCTTTTTATCTCAAACGATTACATACATTCAAAGGAAAAATCCTCTTCTTTTACTTCCCACTTTTTTACCAATAATTCGGACTCTTTAAAGATGTGAATGAAACCTACTCTAGGAGCCAGTTCGCCAAATTCATTTTTTGCACTGTCAACATTTAAAGAATGATTTTATAATATCATATACCGATATTTCTGTATTCTTAATAGATAATTTAGAAACAAAACCTGTAGTGGACATAATGAAATCCTGGCGGAATCATCTTTACGCCTTTGAAATCCTCTCCCGTTGTCCAAGACTTTATGTCAACCCCAAAATCAGTACCAGGAGGAACGTTCAATAAAACAAGAGTCCCCCCAATTTCAAAAAGTCGCTTTGCAAGCTCATGATCCATCTCCCTACCATCCTTGGATACCATTTTCCGTAATGTGCGTATTTAATCCAGAAAGTATTAGATACCAGAGATGAGTTCGGAGATTGCTCACGGGCAACAATTTTCGATTTGCAAGGTATGTACCTTTATTTAAAATACTACTAGACCGGAAACGCTAGTGATCTCGTTCTTTCATATAGCGAATATGTAATTCAGCGAATAAACCCACGTGAGATGAAAGTGCGAGAAGTGAGCGCTCTCGTCAAATAAACGTAATAAACGCCCTAAACACGTAGAGAAACAGGTAGATGGCACAGCCATCGCGAGTGCGCGGCCCCTACCAGAAATTCGTTGCGCCGCCCTTGGAGGCAAAAAACGGTGAAAGCTAACGTACGAAATCAGAGGGCAGCACACGATGCGATCGCGCGACCCTGCCCGTGAGCAATCTCCCAACTCATTTCTGATACCAAAAACACTAGGAACGTAGAAGACAATAGCAGCAAGGTTAGATAAGTAAAATACCCCAGATAATTTACGTAGTTATTTACCAAAGATCAGCTGATTTCTCAGGGCAAGTTCAGACGACACAATTGTAGCGAAACCTCAATTTTGGTGACCTCAGTTTGTCTTTAAAAAATAAACCTCTAGAATTATCTCAACCTGTCGAAGTGTGTCGAAGTATGATTGCGTCGGTAAATGGTGGTTGGTTTAATTGGCTTTCGAATGTTTCTGTAGATATTTTTGTCAATGCACCATCATCAAAATAAAATGAAAATGATTTAGATTTGTGGTGGATAATTAATGTGAAAAGATTATAAAAGATACGTCAACAACATGGTGTTCAGCGATTGTCCAGACGTTGAAAGCATTGGTTGCGGCTTTAACGCTTTTAAAGAAATAGACGAAGTGACAAGTCTAATCGAAGAATTGAAGAAGCCAGACACACCGTCATGTATTATCGAAAAAAATGTAGAACGATTCAACTTCATTTTAACGCAATACCAAGATCAGCCTCATCTTCTCGATGCATATCTTGAAAACATTTTGGCATCCATGCTGTCTGTGATAAGAGATGAAAATATACCAGAGAGTGACAAACATGTTGTATTTAAGTATCTTTTTATTGTCATGTCCGTCAAGAGATACAAAAAAGTTGTGATATATCTTCCACATGAGGTTTGTGCATATCTTTATTTTGTATTAAATTCTATTGATTCTTTGGTGACATGTTGAAATACTTATCGTCGTGTTAAAGACGTACATATATCTTATAAACATTTATTTAACTGTATGTACTGTAATTTTAGGTAACAGACCTTCTACCTGTTTTACGTATGCTGGAAAAACAAGATCCAGCTGATCTTCAGACATGGCAAACACGTTATGTTCTTCTGATATGGCTGTCAATAATTTCTAAAATACCATTTCCATTATCGCGTCTGGAGACATCAGATACTGTAGCACCAGAGCAAACAATTATAATTCGGTATTTTAGTATATATGATACTTGGTGATAAAGGAATATTATTAAAATACATCTTTATATCACTTATTGTTTTTAGAATATTAAAAATCTGCAAGTTATATTGTTTGTCAGCGGATTCATGCTCTACAGCTGCAGTATTTTTGATTGCAAACTTTTTGACACGGTCGGATGTTAAAAAATTGTATTTGGAGGAAATGATCACTTGGTGTTTTGAGGTAATGTCTCACAGATTTTTTATTCTTTTCTTGCACTAGCTAAGTTTCTTTTCAGGTAATTATGTTTTCACATGATGTTATTTGTTTAGTGTTTAGAATCTGATTCTTCAAAACATGGACCTTTGGCTGTACTGTCATCGATATTGAAACATTGTGCCCGAGAAGATTTAAAGCCTTATAGTCAAATGATGCTTGATAAGGTGCTGAAGCTACAATTAAGTGACAATGGAGCAGTTCTTGTTAGAAAGTTTGGGATTAAAGTCATACAACGTATAGGTAATGACATTTTATTGATTTTTCCCCAAAACAATCATTGAGTTATAATTATGCATCTCATTTTCAGGGCTTGTTTTACTAAGAACAAAATTGGCACCCTGGCGATATCAAAAGGCAAGTAAACCAATCAGTCTTCTCCCAAAAGACAATAAAATTACCATTCCTGAAATTGTGGGTGATACAAAAGAAACGGTCGTCAGTGACAATGACGATCAGGATATTCCACCAGCTATAGAAGAAATTATTGAACAACTTATTCAAAGTCTCCGTGATAAAGCAATAACAATCAGGTACGTTCATGACTAAGATGCTGTAATTCTCATGAGATATAAACAATTTAAAAATATCAATTATTAAACAGATGGTCTGCTGCCAAAGGTATTGGTAGAATTACTGGACGATTACCAATTGACATGGCAGACGATGTTGTTGGATTTGTATTAAACTTATTTTCTGGTCGTGAATCTGATTGTGCATGGCATGGAGGATGTTTAGCACTGGCTGAATTGGGTAAAGCCTTTGTTCATAATGGGAAATAATTTTTGTGGAATGACAAATTAACCACGGGATTTTTGTTTAGGAAGGCGAGGGCTGTTACTACCTCATCGTTTGAAAGATGTAATTCCATTAGTTCATCAAGCATTAGTATTTGACGAGCCACGAGTTTACGGCTCTGTCGGATCTATAATTAGAGATGCTGCATGTTATGTTTGCTGGTCCTTTGCCCGAGCTTTCGAGCCCCATGTTTTTGAACCTTATGTGAAAGAAATCTCGGCTACATTAGTAGTAGTTACCGTATTTGACAGAGAGGTAATTTGTTTTCTTTTACCTAATTGATCTTGGCAATCTTTTGTCACTTGTTTGCTCGTGATTACAGATAAAATGTCGTCGTGCAGCATCAGCAGCATTTCAAGAGAATGTGGGAAGACAGGGCAACTTTCCCCATGGTATCGATATTGTCACCGTGGCTGATTATTTTGAAGTAGGAGTGCGGAGCCACGCCTACCTCAAAATAAGGTACAATCCCAATTTTTTATTTCAGTTTACATAATGTATTTATTTGTAAACAAATATTTCAGTGTTCACATAGCACAATATGAGGAATACACAAAGCCTTTAATAGACCATTTAGTTGCAAGAAAAATTGGGCATTGGGACACAGCAATAAGAGAACTTTCATCAAAGGTAAATTTATATATACGTTGGCAATATGCGATGGACATTCAATGAATAATTAAATTTGTTGTAACTTCAGGCCCTTCACAATTTAACACCTAGAGATCCACAATACATGGTGAAAGCGGTATTGCCGAGTCTTTTGGAAATGATAAATTCAATAGATTTAAACACACGGCATGGCGCAGTTCTAGGGACAGCAGAAGTTTTACATGCATTATTTAACAAGTATAATGACACTATTGAAAATATTATTGGTAAGAATTAATTAAATATAATGCCTTAATAATATTACTCTGCAAATTAACATCTAATATTGCAGTTATTATTTACTTACATTTATTGATATTGATTGTAGGGGAAGAAGCCGTTCATCAAATAGAAAACATTGTACGGTCATTCAGAAGTCGAGGACAATTTAAAGGTCTTGGAGGAGAGCTTATGAAACAAGCGTGTGCTGTGCTAATTAAAAAATGTGCTCTTGTTCACTTTCCCGTCCATTCCACAGAAGTAATAAGTGAGTTGTCAATTAACGAACGAGTTATATTAGGTTACGTATTAGAAACATAACTTTATATGGCATCAAATTTTGTCTTAAATTACATAAAATCTCATTATTTTTTCGTTTTAGATGACTGGCAGAGTTTATTGGAAGAATGTTTAAGTCATGAGATAACTGCAGTAAGACTGAAAGCAGCAGAGACTCACACTGATTTTTTCAGCGAATTTTACATAGATTCTCATATAAGTAATAATGATTGTAACAAGATTATCAATCGGTATCTGGATAATCTTCGATCCAATAGCCAGATCGTCAGAGTCGGATTCGCGCAAGCTATAGGTGAGCTTTGTCACATTTTACTAACCAAGAGCTGTAATGTGCTTAAAACATTGATGATTTATTCAATTACTTAAAAACAGGTTATTTTCCATTACCCATCCTACGGAGAATGGCCAAAAATATTATAGAAGCTCTTATCAAATGTTCACACATAACCGAAGAAACTAGCAAGTGGGCTGAAAGTCGTAAGGAAGTCTTAAATTCTTTGACCATGATATGTCAGACTTTAGGAGTCAGTGAAGCAGGTAAATATTTAAATAACTATAAAACGTGTTGCTAATAATCTTTTACATTGAAAGATGTTTCTAATTGTAGATACATGGAAACCTTACATCAATGACCTTTACGACTGTTATTTGCTTGCGCTTAAAGAGTACACAATTGACAGCCGCGGAGATATAGGTGCCTGGGTACGAAACGCAGCTATGTCTGGTTTATGTGTGAGTACTTTCTTGTCGTGCTTACTCTTTACTTGCAGAAAAAATATTTGAAATTGTTGCAATTAATCTATCAATTTATTTAATAATATTTAACATTAGGTACTAACGAATTTAGTATTACGAGGAAATCTTTCTTTGATGTTGACTGAACCACTAATGACAAGTGTCATCGGAGGTATAGCACAACAGGCTATTGAGCGAATCGATGGAATTCGAGCACAAGCAGGCGCCATTTTCAGTGGACTTATACACAGGTGTGTTATATTATTTCGAATTTATCTGTTACAAGTTCAGTCATTTGAAGAAAAAGGTCTTAATAGAGTTAGAATGTTTTATTTATTTCGTGCAGTGAGCCGGAACTTCCTAATATTCCGTATCACAAAGAACTGAAGAATATTTTTCCTCGAGATGAGTGCAACGAAAGCATCAACTGGAAAATGGAATGCACTACATTTCCACGTTTTGTTAAAATGCTGAAATTTCCACCTTATGTAACTTATCTCTTACGAGGAATTATATCCAGTGTCGGTGGCCTAAGTGAATCCCTGGTAAGTTTATTTTTCCTATTTAATTGCTAATATCTCCAAAAGTCTAGAGTAAATTTTCATTGGTTATTATTGATAATACAGGTAAAATACTCGAGCGTATCGTTATTTTCTTATCTGAAAGAAATTGATGAACAAAGTTTGCAAGAAATATGTAATAGGGTATTGAACATTTTCGAGGAAAGTCACAAAAACGAAAGAATGATCACCTCGTTACTTGCTTTCCTGGATCGACTATTGAGTTCTGGATGTCTCCAAGTTATTCTTGATAACCCCAACAGTGAGATTCCGGAACGTCTTTTAACGTTATTAATTAGGGAACGAAAACACATTAACAACACGAAGCTTCTGACCAACATTATACAAGTATTGTGTCAGCTTTTACAGGTAAATTATGGAATTTAATTAATTTATAATGTAATGTTTATTCGCCTATATTCTAAGAAAACTATTGATCGCAGGTACGAGGACCTGCTGGAAAAAAGGCCTTCTTTCAGTTAAGTATATTCTTATGTAATAAGTACAAATGCTTGAGAAAAGTTACCGCTATGCATATGTACGAAGCTTTAACTCTTTATGGCGAAGATATGGACTTAACAGAGGATGAGCTACAAAGCATTTTAACAGAATTAAATGCGACCGATTGGGAGCAACAAGTATCGGATCTGCGAACAATTAGGAATAATCTCTGCAATTTGATGAAAGTCCCTGTACCAGTTGTACAGAAAAAAACAAACTCATGAAACACCTATTTCCATCGGCTTCGTAATTACTGTTAATTATTCACATAATATTTGCCAACCTTCAATTCCATTAAATCGTAACGCTTAATTTATATGCTTGAGGTATGAATGTCTTTTTTTTAATGCCGTTGTCGCGTTTATATAATTAATATGGAAAATGAATAAAAATTATAAAACTTGCTGGAAGCTTGTTAACAATTTTATTTTTGTATTAACTTCTGACCGTTTTCCTGAACACATCGGTACGAAGATTATTGTACAGATAAAGACACTTGTTTAGCAGTTTTTTGTAACATACATTTTAAATCTTTCCTCATCAAACTGATTCATGTCGATGAGGACATTGTTCATTATTTTTTGAACGAGTAATTTCGCTGAACATTTTTCAAGATTCCAGCGGTCGACCCACCAATTATTTTTATTTACCTCGCCCGTTAACGGACTTCTTGGTAAAGGACAATTAAAGTGTTTGGTATTTACAATATGTACATTTTTCATTCTGTTTGGATCGTGTAACTTTTTGCAAACAAAACATTCAAACGATCGAACGTAATTTACAAAGTCATGTGGCATGCTGCTTGATCTATCCCTTAATGCAGTTAAAAGACGAGCATTCGTAATTCTAAAATTCGATGGATACAGTTTGTGAGTTATGTACCGCTCGTATTGTAATTCATCATTAGTAAGGTTCACCAAATGTTCAGCTAAGTCTTTGGGTTGTAAGAAATCCGCTACAGAAATGACTGATTTATTGTTTGGAACCCAGTCCTAGAAAATAAATAGTTGAAATGCTTTACATAAAATGTTATAAACCAAGAAAGTATAAATGTACATATAATTTTTTTTATAAGAATAAAAGACGTATGTTACCATAAATGATGGGGATCCATAATACACAGGTACCGATCCAACAATAAGTGGTCTCCAAAATTTTTCAGTGAGGTAATCAAAACAGGCAGCATTTTCAATAGCTAAAGTAAATTTGTACTGTGCAACAAATGATAGAAATTCTTCGCTCTCTAGTTTATCCAAGTGGTTTTCCTTTAAACTGTACCATTAATGTTATTGTTATATAAATGAACATTTTTTATTTTTAATAATACAGCCACCTGAAGGTTTGCCTCATTTTCTTTGTTGTTCAATATGCATACCTTCTAGGTAATTCACGATTATTTAAACAAGGTCCATACGAGTCAACCCTAATATGTTTCATGAGTTCTGAAACGTAAGAATCTCTTTCGGTAGCTGTATCGCAATCTGACTGGATATAGAGAACTGGGGCCAAGTTTTTCGTTGCCATCAATCTTCTCTTCTCCTTAAACGGTATAAAATATTTTTCATCTACAAAATAATGCAAAGTAATTTCTGCATAAAATGTGTAATTAATGATGAAAATATTATTCTACCCATTAGCTCTTGTTCGCTTGGTAAATGAAGCAGGGTGAGAGGAATGTCACTGTATCGGCTAAATGTAGCGGAATAGTTAAAAAGATTTAATGCCTGTTCATGCACGAGAATTGGATTATTTCGTGGTGACTCTTCATGAAATAATCCCCAGTCGACACGTTGTCGCCGCGGTAATGGTAAATCGTTTATTTGAAAATTGCTACCATAAAACAAAATTCCCTGTGGAATCAAAATATTTACCATCAATATTTCCTAATAAATGGGCTAAAATATAAAATATTTAACAGACCTTAAGAAGAGGATGTGACTGAAATGTACGATTTTGTGTGAAATAACATTGAACGTCACCGCATACTCGTGCGTATTTATTATAATGCACAAAAGGTGTCCACCATATGACTATAGGGGTCTCTACATCTATAAACATTTCACGTTAAAACAAAAAATAGTCCTTGTTTAGATAATATTAATATTATTCTTGTCTCGGTTATTGTTTACCTGAAAGTCTTGATTCGTCATAATTGTTCAAACGCAACTGCAAAAATTTAGATTATTTTACCGTAGATCTTGAATATGTGACATATATTTTTTAAAACATATATCTCGTGAAATTAAGATGAAATAGAAAATAAGTCAAAGGAATTATACGCATGTACCTGCAGCAAAGAGAAAATTATTCCTAAAATTCCGATAAATAAAAGAATCGATCGTTTTCTTCGCAACATCTTGTATCATATTTTCAATGCTTTCTTTTTAACTTGATTTAAAATACTGCGAACTGTCATGCAGCTACAAACACGTGTTAGGTCATCTCGCCATTGATCTCAGGTTATCCATTCGTGTAGAGTCAGAGATGAGTTGAGAGATTGTTCACGGGCAGGATCGTGTGATTATGGCGCATTCGGCCACATGCGCGTTAGCATTATTTTTACCCGACTCGCTCGTCTGTCATTTATTCCGTTAATGATAAATAAAACACTATGGACGTTATCACAATACTTATTATTAAACCCATTTGGCGTATATAAACTTTCTTTTATTACAACTTTGATAGAGAAGACATTTTTGGCGGTAATTCCGTCGTTAGACTTTTTACTTCTACTACTTATGTAACTACACGGCGGACTAAGGTGTATTTGCACGTTGTCCTATCGGAGCGCCGCTTGCGGCGTTTCCTTGAACCGTGTATGCGGTACCGTTGTCCTAGGTGCTGACGCCACATGATCGCATCCTGTGCTACCCTCTGGTTTCGTACGTTAGCTTTCATCGTTTTTTGCCCCCAAGGGCGGCGCAACGAATTTCTGGTAGGGGGTTGTGGTTTCCATTTCTGATTGGTCGGTTCTTTGGAGGGCCGTAACTCTGAAACTACGCGGTGTAGGAGAAAACGAAAAAGGAAGTTTCGCGTCCAAACGACGTCCGCCGTCGATCCCCCTGGGTCCCAACTTCTGGTACCTGAACGGACAGGGTCGGTTCAGGTAGGGGGCGTTCAGGACTGGCGCGATGGATAGGGGACCGGATTCCGCGACGAAACTTTTTTTACTATTTTTCTCTACGACCCGTGGTTCCGGAGATACAGCGGAAATAAAAATGCTGCTCTCTGATTGGTCGGTTCGTTGGAGGGGCGTAATTCGGAAACTACGCGACGTAGCCGAAAACGGAAAAGGAAATTTCGCTTCCATAGGACGTCCTCCGTCGATCCCTCCGGGTCTCAACATCCTGTACCTGAACGGACAGGTAATTCATCCTAACCCGTGGTAACCTATTGTAATCTATGCTAACTTATCGGTAACTCATCGTAACCCGTTGTAACCCATTATTAACTCATCCGAACCCATTATTAACTCATCGTAACCCATCTTAACCGAGTCTAATCTAATCTCGGATCGATAACAGGTGTATATGGGTGAATCGAGTCAGTCCATTATGTGAACATTCCGCAATGATGGACGTGCAGGCTGGATGATACTGGTACAACAGCTCTTATATATTCGAACAAGGCAGGTTAGGTAGCGTTAGAATGGAAAAAGTCCGGTTAGGATAGGGCTACATTAGTCTAAGGCAGGTTAGGATAGCGTTGGTAGGAGATGCGTGGGAGAGGAGGAAAGAAGGGGGGGGTCAAACAATTTTTTTTTTCCGCGCGGGCGCCTAGCGGAGTCTGCGCGGGGTCTCGTCCG